GATCGATATAACGCAGCTGACTAACAGGCCAACAGGAGCCACACCGTGCGGCCGTGGATCACGATCGTGTACACTGTACATTGTCGATTTGGTAATGCGGAGGTAATCTCGTGTCCTTCACGGCTCTGAGAGCTTATAGGTGATAGGTAATCCCGCCTATCAGCATCTAGCTGATCCAATCCAAACTGCTCAATAGCGTAGTATAGATGAGCAGCGTAGCGTTTTTTACGGTTCACGTTACGGCGTGTGTAACGTAAGCAGTTTACGCTTACGGAAAGGTCTTACGACTCTACGATTGGTGCTGAACTGCTTTTTCAGGATTGTGGCAGAGAGATTCACTGTAATGCACGTGAGTCATTGCGTCAAGAATCGCAAGTCATTGCAAACTACAGTTTGCGCTGTTATTAGAGAATAAGGGCGGGTATCGCCCGTTGCCGAAATCGCTTAGAAAAAGCCACCAAAAGCCCCTGATTCACCTAGGACTGATACTATCAGTCTGATAGAGCCGTACAGCAAATTTTCCTTGACTTGACCCAGTGTCAATAAGGGTAATAGAGTGTTCATCGAAGCCACTGGAGCTGAAATGAAACAAGAGGTGGTGAAAGACAGTCAGTTATCGGCTCCCCTGATGCACTAGGCCTGGTAGTCATGGGAAACTTCTTCTCATCGAGCAATTGTGGAGCAATAGAAATTCTCGGCTAATACGCGCCAGCATGAACAATCGAAGCAGCAGATGGATTCTACGACTAGACCTTCAACTGAGTCCGTTGAACTGAGCAGGCCGCTACCTGGTGGTTGGCATTTTCTCTGCTCATTGGACAGTTTCCAAGAAAGACCTACTACCAGTAGCATAAAAACATCCTCAATCCCGAACAAAGTCTTTGATCGTTCACTATTGATTAGGTTACGTAGGTGAGCTAGATACATCACGAAACACATCATAACTACGCAATATCGAAACACTCCTAGGCCGAAATATCAAATTCTAATTCATCAAATCAAACCTTCATCCCCTTTGAAACTACGCTTAACATACATTGACAGCACGCCTTGAGAATGCACCAAAACGCTTGTTCGAATCTTTCAAAATCATTATCATTGCAAAGATCAACCATGACTGCTCGACGAGCGTAGAGCTCAAGTAGTTGAAGCATTTCTTGCTCCAACATAACTGAGGAGACTATGTCCCCGGGAGCAAGTTCGGGTTTCTATGTATGGGCATTGAGCGGTTCTCCGCGACCGAAGTCTCGAGATCTGTGAGGAACCGCCATAGCATCGCATCCGTAGTAAGCATTGCGAACGTTCAGTGGACTACCCTCGCGTGATGGTCAGACTTCCTGGGTCACGCCGTGGTCCAGAGAGTATTCCGGAGGATCGATTAAAATGATAGTTTATGACTTCGTGCTCAGCAAATACTATCACATCAGAAATCAGAAATACAGAAAATACGTAATCGATCACAAGAGTATTCCCAAAAACTATTTTGGAACCGCGAATCGGCGCCGCCGGTCAATATGACTTCTCAGTAGTCACTACTGAAACGGTGTCAGAAACTGTTTCTGAGAAACAGCAGACTGAAGGCAGAGAAGCGCACTCCGGCGAAAACGATCCAATGAGAGAACTTCCAGTTAGAGGCTCGTTAGACTGGGTGAGTCTTCTATCCGCAGCTCATAGAACGGACAATACGCTTAAATTAACCATGGATCCGAGGTGAGAGCGAAGTTAGGCTTCTAAAATGAACTCCTCTTGTGCTGGCCTAGGTCTCCTGAGTGATCGACCCCTTCCTTGGCAGAAGATTCGTCAAAATAAGAGATTCCGGAGCTGATGTGCGATTCCTTGTCAAGTTGTCAGGTGCGGCACCTGAGGTGCCAACTGCGCCTCATCAGTGAGGAGTCCTCACGTGAGATGATTTCATCAGGGCACTTTTGATCCGTAGCTTACGGTCCTTACGGACCTTAACGCCAAGCATCTACGGACTCTGGGAGAGGTACCTTGTGGCACCCCACGCTCTCCACCTTGACTTCTTCGTCCTTCGTTTCACTCGAATTCACAGCTCAATGTGGATTTTCCGTGGGTTACACGACTCGATGCTCCTTGACCATTTCTGGTGAGTTGGGTTCTCTTAGAGAACCTATTGTGTTACATCTTCACAGGCTAGTGTGTGCTCAACCTTTGTTGGGCTGCTACGTATGCTATCCAAAATAAATCGCAATTGAACGGCTAGAGCCAAAGAAATGGGGTGAAAATTTATCTATATACCGTAGCAATTTGCTACTAGCAAATGCCGGTTTGATCTCAACGCGCGGCCGTGCCCCCCGCTGAGCGGGGCCCGATCCAGCACGCAATTTGTGGGTGATGGATTGAGTTTTTTTTCGTAAAACCGGCCGACTACCACCCTGAATCAGAGTCCCTGATCAGAGCCGTGGTCACTGTATTACCTCGATTCTACTCAGCTGCCTTACTGGCCTGTACTCGCATGCCATTAAGTATAGCTGTGCACTTTAGCCGTATACAGGAAGGTTTATAATGTTGGTCGCCGCTGGTTAGATCGCCGCTAGGAGCACTAGGATGAGGCGAGAAGGTACGAGCGCGCTTGGTTCGGGTTCTACTAGCAATTCCAGAAATGAAGGGAATGTACTAAGATTGCAGAAGATAGAGAGTATAGTAAGGTAGGACAAGATGAATAGAGAGTAGTAATGTTGCACGTACTCAAGACCAATAAATACGCAGGTACGCAAGCACAACTGGCGCCAGCCAGCAGATGCGTGTGCGTGCCTCACAGAAGCAACAAGCATCAGGATTTTATACTTAAATCCCTGTGTTCAGCACAATGTGTTGTAACATGGACGGAGCACACGGTATTCTACGGAATTTTGCTTACTGCTCGTGAATGTTCTTCTCTCTCGAGCAACACAGCTGAGATGCTTCGCATTGACATATCTGCGCTACGTCGGTCATACGCGTAATCTTAGCGGTGATGATGCCGCGGGCGTGCCGTTGACGTGAAGAGGAACGTGTATCCGTTCGACTGCGTCACAATCGATGAATTCCCATCAACAAACTCTTCAGGTTAAATCTCATTCGTGATGCCTCTTGCTTACGGCTCCCTCTTGCTTGCCACTGTGATGGAAGCAGCCCTAGGACTACCTGATATCCCTTTCCAGATTACTGCTGACTATCCACCGGGTTGTTATGGAGGTCCTGGTCCAGGGGAGGGAAGCAACATCACCGATATGCTAGCGCCTTCCTGCATTTACAACATGAAGGGATATGCAATCGATGGAGTCCATAGAGAGGTTGCCGGCATCATACTTAACAATAACATGCGTGGGCGTTATGGCAGCTTGCATATGAACCTGAATCTGTCCACCCTGCCTGGTACCGTGAAGCATAATGTCATAGTGGGAACGTATGGTTGGGCTCATCTGAGTGTTGGTGATGAAACCAGAGACTTCTGGTGGAACCCAAGCCCAGGTGAGAATATCTACGGCCCAAAGCCTGTTGAAGTGTTTGCCAAAGTTGCAACTATCGACTCTGGTACTCTCCCTAATAACGTGAGCACTTGGAGCTCGTGGGATAGTCTAACTGGTACAGCGCACAGCGACGGGTTAAACCTAATATGTACTCACAAATGCTCCTCCAATGTACCCAATTCTGAGTTTTACACCGGACAAGAAATCCTCATAAAAAGGGTGGAAGGTGGCTGGAACTACTTGGTTACGTACAACTTTCGCGACAATTCACGTCAGCTAGAAGATTACAACAAGTATGTGATCAGCGGCAACCTGCAGGACGTGAATATAATCTGAATCTACACAGCTTCATGATTCTATGCCTAGCCAACGTGGCGAAGTCTGGCTCGAGTCCCCTGCTCCGATGCTGTTGTCTCACGCACCGTACATATGTCTTGGAAAATTCGAGGATTTCGGGTAGCTTTCACTACAACATCCATCTGCTTATCATTTATTTTCATTTTTCCATATCTCTGCCCAATATTGCGTGAATGCGGTGCGCAGGAGCCTGCTTTTTATCGCTTATCTGTATGCAGGTCTGCGCGTTGCTGTGCGCTGTCCAACTTTTTAACAAGCACACTCTTGCAAACCGCATTGGAGCTCGAGGAGCCCTAGCTGGGCTCATCACCTTTTCAATGATCATTGAGTGGCGGGTTATTGGATTGAACAAGAGAAATATGGTATGTTTTCTTTCCCTTGAACACTGTCGATGTTGTTGCGTTCAGGTATGGAGGACACTTCCTAGACCATCTCAGATTTCCACGACTTTTCACGATTTTCACGACGATAAGAGATGCTATGCTCGTCTACACGTAGATTGCGTAGTGTAGAATGGCGCAAATAGTGGCCTAGGACGCGCTCGTCGGTACAACTGCTTACTTTCAGCTGTGCTCTCGATCTGGATCATACTTCATACTGTTGCGAATTCTCTGCTGGTTTCAACTGTGGTGTTGTAATGATCAATGGCACCTGGCCTGATGATGGAGTCTCTCGATATAGCTCAACACGAGCTTCCCAAACCTCATTCACTGAACCATATCATCGTGCACTGGTCCGTTCGGAAACGTTGGCGACGAGTATCCCGGATATTTGTGCTCTCGGTTTCGGGCTAGATTTTAAGAATGTTCTGGCTCTGCTCGGATCAGCATTTCAATTTAAAAGAGAGAGAAGTATCGATTACAGGTCTCCAGCATTCTTCAATCGAACATAGTAGAGACTAAAGATTTGGATAAGTAAGCCGGGAAGCTATCTTGGTGTGCCCAATTGACTCGCCATTAGCGTCCCAAGCTCGGTGCATTATATGCATTGACCGCTGCCGCTGACCGTCCTAAACCAGGAAAACCTCTTTAAGAGGTTTTCCTTAAAGTTTCCGTCTAAGTTTGACGTATTCGCCTTTTTGCATCTGCTTAAGATTTTCTTGAGTCGATATCGGAGGCTCTGGCCAAGCCATGTTCCGTACCCCTTTTTGGTTCGAAGGAGGATGTATGGTATCTGATATCGGATGCTTGCACGTACGGCTTCGGAGGATTCTCCACTGATGGCACTAAGCATTATTGGTATAATATCGACCCTTGTGACGAGCCTCTACTGTGGGAATAAATTCTCAAGGCACATCCAGATGTTGAAGGATCCGCTTATCCCGGTTTGGAGGAGTCTGAGATCTGTTATCTGGAGCTGTGTGCAGCTGTTTTGGGTTTGATTGGGATCGAGAAGACGCCCAGTGTTCGACTCAAGAACTATAGCATATTTCAGTTTCAGTTTTCTGTGATAAAACAGAAACGGTTTCGGGTCTTGCTTCTTGGTCTCCAAAGACACAAGCTTTGAGAACGCCTTTGAGTTGGGTTCCTCACTGGTCTTCACGTTTATGCTTTCAACATATGCCTGGACGTCTCAATAGCCTTGCAGATTTCATCAGTCGTCGTTCCAGATCGGAGACCATACCAACCGCTGCTGCTGAGTAGCGTCGGGTCGCAGTAACGCCTCAGGTATGACTCTGGTTTGAGCATCTCTCTGGTCGGCATATGCTTCTGAAGTTATGTAAACAGATAGTGTTGTCAATCTCTTGGAACAGGCTTTTTGTCACGTTTTCCTAACGCCTTCTTCTCCGAGACATGCCTCGGGATCTGTCAAAGGTTCGATCGTACCTTGAGAGTTTCTACAATCTGCTGAATAGAAGCAGGAAAGTTTGGAGTTTCTGTCACAGTCTCTGAAGGATTCTACATTTCAACAATACCGAACACCTGCGAGCTACTACGAAGGCGGATTCGGTCTTATATGTGCGATGATTCGTGTCACAGTCAACAACCTTATTGCTTTCATCAGAACTTTCACGGCCTCAGCAGAGATTCAATCATCTACTATCCGTAAATATACTTGCGGCGTGCGATCGACTGCCCAGGTTCGCCTTGGACAAGTGTTTTCTCGTGAAGAGAGCCAAATCTTTGATAGGGCTCTGCGAAGTGCGGACAATGCACTGAGCTCTCTAGAACGTCCAATGAAGAGGGCGGTAGTGCTCCCGAGCGAGTGTCTGAAAGCGTTAGCCCATATGCCTCTGCAATTCGCGAGCTCAGAAGATCAGACCAGATCAGCAGCTTTATTGGGCAGTACTTTGATGCTCCGGTTAAAACAGGTGGCAGCACGTCTCCGTGTGGCAGACGTGAGTTGGGGAAAACACCCGAGGGTACTCTAGCTCTTCTCGATTTCTACAACACCAAAGCTTCCTTCCATGAGGAACGTGAATTTCTATGCTCAGCGGGCTGTTCATGCAACAAGGTGCACTGTGTGGCTCACAATATCACTAAGATGCCGCGAACAGCTACTTCAACGAGCCAAAGGGTATTTTCTGAATGAAGTACGAAATAACTCGCCAAGGAGTTTCCGCAATAAGTCTTCGAGTGGAAACGGGATGAAGCTACGATGCACAATGACCGTGCCACAGTCTACGTCGCTGGGGTGTGTTAAGTCTGTTCGGGTTGAGCTCTCACCAAATCAAAGCTGGGGTAATTGGTGTTCATCGGCCTTCGTGAAGAAGAAGTGTCGGAGCCATGTTGAGCAAATTCTGGAAGCTGCATGACTCCTGGACGCATGGTGTGTTTCTTAGACTTTGTGGTAGTGCTTTCTCAATTGGCCTTCCGTTGAGTTCATTCTCGAACGATAACCTAGCTGTCGGAGCTTGTAATGTTAACTTGGTGTGAGTGACTCTCATTGATGAGGATGTTACGTCGAAGAATGTTCCTAGTGGAAAGAGTCTTCTGAAAGTTCTGTCGAATAATCGGACATGTCTCCTCCCTGCGACAGTGAGGATCTCGTTTCAAGTAGGTGACGCATCGTTGTTTGTGTGATCGAGTTTGGGGGACACTAACATATGTCAGGAAACATGGGCCAAGGTAAGACCCGGCGAGGGTTCGGGCTTTGGGTTCACAGTATTTGGTCCTCTCACACACTCCCAACCAACTGTCTGACGAACAGAAGTCACTCGAATTGAGAAAATGACCATGTAGTCCGAGGGCACTGCTGCCCCTATCCACTGAGTTGATTCGTGAATAATGTAGTCCGGAGGCATAGCTACCCTTATTGACCGAGTAAATGTCTGTATGATAGAGGCTATACCTTATAGCCTGCTCACGTTAACTCAGCAGATCGACTGCAGCACGAATTTCATTTCCAGGCAGATCCGATTACCCTG